GTGTCTCTACATGCTGCTACTGATGTGTCAAGGACTTTTGACAGCCATAATGAGAAGGTAGTGACCTTGAAAAGTCAGTAGAGTGGTGCTATAGAGCAAAGTCATCTAGAACTGAAGCTTTCTCTTTTTCTGAAAAAGCTATGAACGTAAATTTCCTTCATATTTCTTCCTCATACGCTGGCTGGGGTGTCCATTCCAAGAGGGAGGGTACATGTAATTTATTAAGAAAGTGGCCAGGTACTTATTTACAATAGCTCTGCTGAAGGAGCAGATAGATTAAGATAAGGGAAATGAAGAGCTCTCTAGGTGTGTTGGCAAAGAAAAATGCTCACTGAAGGTTGAATTAAACACTTCAGGGCATGCAAGGCTTAAAGATAAACCAAGAACTTTGGCTGTGGACATACAGAATATTGTTTTCATGGCTCCTCCTGAGCTAATGGGAAGAAAAGGCTAATTGGTTTAAGAAGAACAACTCTTTGACCTTTTCCCTTGGACCAAACTTGATCAGTATCTGTTCCGGGGGGGTGTTTGTAAACTTGAGTGTTTCATGAATTCTCCAGTAGAAAAGAAGAGGTTGGTGTAATGCATCCAGGAAGTGTTGGCACTTATAAATTTTGAAGATGATACCTGGTCAGACCACAGTAGATGATGCTTGGGCCATTTCTCAACACCACATTTTCAATATTACCCCCATACAGCAGACAGTTTAGAAGCAGATCACAGGAGAATGGAAAAATGCAAAAGACAGATTTAACTATTGGAAACAGTGAGAAAAATGAATGATGGGAACTACTAGGGAGTTGAGTAACACTGAAATGAGATTCTGATCTTTATAGACTTTCCCAGTCTTTCCTAAAGGTTTTGTTTGTTGAGCTGTTGTCTTTTGGGGTGGAGGTATGGTTTGAAGGTTCGTAAGGCTTATATCTCATGATCAATAAAAATGGCAGGAAGCTGAAAGAACTTAGTTCTTCTAAAGATAAACTGACTTTAGAGAAAGGGAGAAAGTGTTTACACTTGGAAGCTGGAAGCAGAGACCAAAAGAGAGTGCTCTGATAGATATTATCACACTCCAGAGTCTTCAAGTGAGCTAGCAAAAGGACTGTGCTTAGCTGTGTTTAACAGCAGAGGCACTGCTCATGGAGAGATGTTTCGAGATTCCACCCTGTATCATCAGCTGTAAGTCAAGTGACTACACACTCCTTCATGAAATGCCGAATTTGCATTACACTGTCTCAGTGCCTGATGACACCTTGAGAACAAGACACTTGCTGGAGATTGTCTTTTGCAGATTAAAAACTTTCCAGACTGTAACATAGATCAAAGCAAGGTGTGACTGTTTCCCTGCTGTATTGAGAAGGGAGCAGCGTGAAAAGCAATTAAAAGTATTTCTACATGTTTTTATTTTTTTATCTTAGATGATCTTCCCAGCAACGGAAACGAATGGTTGAGGGCAGCAACCTATAAACTCCTCTTCCTATGACTGGTATTTTCATGCTACCACTACAGTAACCACCAAAAAAATATAGACAGGCATGAGGTTTGCTGTTCACATAGTTAAGTTTACGAGATGGGAATCCTAAAACTTCATCCAGGTCCTACTGAAATAGCTTAAGAAAGTCCTCCTGCCTTCACAACATGATGGATAGAGTCTACAGTGGGTTGTTTCTATCTCAGTGGATACTTTATCTTCAGCGGAAACCGTATGGGGCACTTACGAAAGCCTTGGGAAGAATGCTGATGATTCTAGTTGATGTGGGAACAAACTATACAGATGTCTCCAACAAAGTTAACTTTAGACACTGGAAAGTGTCCACATCCTGGACTTCCTGTCAGTGGCTGAACTATTCTCTGGAGGACGAGGCAGAGCAACTAAGATAGATAGTGTTTTTCTCTGGAGGTTTCGATGAACGCATCTATCTCTCCCCATTGTTTACAGAGATAGGACCATCTACCTCCTTGAGCTTAAAGTTGGCATTCATGAACACCTCCTAACTCCCAGTGCTCAGGGGTTTGAGTAGGTCAAGATTTGGAGATGTGGCACCCTAAGACTCCACCTTCCCAACAAGGCCACAGAGGCAACAAACACTCAACAAACCCTCTGAAGCCTGAGATAGTGTTTTAGAAGGTGTCTTTAGTCCAGAAACTGTGATTTAGTGTTCTGGGTATAACAACAGCAAAACAAAAATGCACACAGTGCAGTCAAAGTGAAAATACCCTTTGGCTTGGCATGGGCTTCATTTCACAGGTGCTTTTATGCCACTAGTTGTTCTCTAAATTAACCTAAAGCTCAGGAAAAACCCACATCAAGCTACTTAGATAGGGAAAACAAGTTAACTGGGTCCTTCCCTTGCTCTTCTCCTGTGGGTTCCTGCAGGCTCCTGCAGGAACTTGCCTCCTTCCTCAGCTGAATTCTTTGCATGGACTTCCACACAGCACTTAGCTTTCCTGGGTGGGACTTTTCCAAGGAACTTAGACATCCCAATTGTTAGGTATCATGGCATGATTCATCTGGAGACTTTTACAATGCAGACATACCCGACTCATCCAGTCACCCAAGCTGTCGTGATAGTCTAGCCAATACAGTCAATGGAGGCAAGGCCATGATTCACTTCATTCCAAAGCAGACATCTAAAATGGGCAGATGAATCGTGTTCTACAAGTGCCTATTTCTCTCCACTGACTGATTGCAAAAGCAGCCTGGAGTGAGTAGATCAGCTGGAGATGTCCATATTGTAGACATCAGAAGGTAGCTGACATGAACACAGTTCCTGGTTGATGTGAGCTGCCTTCCTCCCTCCTTTAATGCAGTGGAAAGAGAGAGGCACTTCTGGAGGTTAAGTTTATGCTAATTGTCTCATCTTCCCTCCCTGGGGTAGGATAAATTGTCCTCTCATACTAAGTGAAGTTAACCTCCCAGAAGTGCAGCTGAGGTGAAAAGAAGCATCTAAGTTTTGGAAACCAGCTGAATATCCTTTGCCTTCCCAGGCACCTCCTACCTTCTCCATCTAAAGTCCATTTACTGAAAGGCACATTCTTGACTTAGTTGATTATCTTGGTTCTAGACTCCTACCTAGAATCATCTGGGATCCAAAAATGGATGACCCTGTGTCTTACTTGCCTGGAAAGGACTCATATGTGAAGCCTAGTCTCTGCATGGTTAGCAAAGCCACTGAGATGTGGTACCGGACCACCTGAATGTCCATTTCCTTTTCACTTCTGTACTCTCTTGACCAGGTATCCATCAGGAAGGGAGCTAACTGATTGCAAGGACCCTTCTCCCATAAAAAAGACAGACATCTTAAACCATTTTTTATCATAGCCTACAGAAGTGCTAAAGTCAAGCTAATTCCTTTTTAACTCTAGCAATGATAGAATTCTTACACTTCTTTTCAGTCAGAGAAGAGAATGAAGCATAATCCCTGACTGCCCTGTTGATAATTCAAACACAGCAGGTTGTTCCCAAATGAAAACCACACAGTAAAAATTAATGTAAACAGAAATACACACTGCCCAGGCAAGTTTCTATTTGTCATTAACTCTGAGTAGAAAAGTCAATCAAGAGATTTAATTAGAAGAAAAGGAAATTATACTTTAAAAATCCCTTTAGTTTTAGTAATCAAGGCTATTATTAGAAGCACCAGTAAAAACACTTTAAAAAAATCTGTCTAATTAACCACATATCTGCTGATCTCTCGTTATAGCTGACTTGTTTGTCTATAAGTCTTCAACCAACATAATGGTTCATGGACGCTCTTTTCAGCAGACTTCCATTTGTCTGAGCACAGAATTTGCACTCAAGTTTTGTTAGGGTTTTTTTGGTGTTTATTTTGTTTGGTTTGGGTTTAGTTTTTTCTTTTTTGTTTGTTTGGTTGTTTTTTTTTATTTCACTTTTCTTGCTTTAACCAAAGCAATTCACAGATTGATGGTCACAGCAGGCTCTCCATGTCCTTTCGACAGTACAGCAAAGCTGGTATTATTTTATGAAAATACAGCCCTACACTTCAACTTGATCAGAAAGCCCCAGTATTAAGATTTGTAAAGCACATGCTTGGATTAAGCAGGTGTGGAAATGCTTTGCTAAACAGTAGAAAACTTTTCTAGACCGTACTTTCAGGATGTTACCAAAATGCCCAGCATGGCTCCCAGCTTGCATGGATTTATGCATGAATGTTCCTAGTAACATGAGTACTGTTCCTTACATGTGAGAATAGCATTGATATTGGATCCATAGGAGAAGTTTTCCCCAAGTAGTTTCTATTCTAGCAGGGCTATGTTTCCATCCCTTTTCCTCTATAGCACAGGAAATTTAACTGCTTATGGTAGTGAGTGTAAGTGGCACTCTTGCAGCATCTAGCTCAGAGTTGGGCTTTTTAAATTCTCAAGGTCCAAACTGCTTGAGTCTTTTGGGTGAGTTTCAATGTACAGAAGTTACCTGGTAAGGTTCAGATATATAGAGCACACTGCTGAATTGTATGATGGTTGGTCAATTTGTGGTGTTCCCCTTCCAAAGACATGGAGTATGGTGTCTTCTACTGTTGGTGTTACTACTTTGTTACGCTCTGAAAGTGGTTTTGACTGTCTAATCCCTGGGCTTTCTCAGCTGCCAAATTCGCTGTAAAACCTACCTGCTCTTGCAAAGCTACACTTGGCTTTCAAAAAAAGAAATATGGGCTTGACCCTCTTGTTGCAAAGGAATGAGCTGAGCTGTATGAACTGAGCATCTTTGGGCAGAAGCAGCACAATGATGGATTAAGGCATTAAGAGGATGAAAAAAAGGGAAGGAAAATATTAAAGGCAGAGTTTCTTGCCTTGTTGGGCCTATAGGGAACTTCAGGAGAGAGATGAGGTTGTTTTGGGGAGGGATGACAGTGGAAAGGATGTTTTCTGGAGCAGGGAATGTCAAGGAACTGAAGATGCTGACTTTCTATCCCCATTCTTGTGAATCAAGTGCAAAGGTGAAAGCCAGACTGACAGCATCTCTTCCTTGTTTTTTTTCTCAGGTCCTTGGCAATTGGTCACCAGTATTCCTCCCTAGGAACTCAGCCCATCCTCTGCGGAAGCATCCCAGGACTCGTACCCAAGCAGCTACGCTTCTGTCGGAACTATGTGGAGATCATGCCCAGTGTAGCAGAAGGGGTAAAGATTGGGATCCAGGAATGCAGGTGGAACTGCACAACCGTCAATGACAGCTTAGCCATCTTTGGGCCTGTGCTAGATAAAGGTGAGTGCAGTGTTACTGGTTTGGTGACAGCAACATCCATGGTGGAGTAACAGCAGAGATCTAGAGAAACCTACTGCGAACAGAATTGCTTCTCATAGTGTCATGTAAAATGGGTTGCAGGAGGTAGGACTTTCTAACATTCTAACAGGGATAGAAAGTACACATGTGCATCCCAAATATAACAAGGGTGGTTACCCACCAAATCCATTGTACAGGAAACATACAGTCACAGGTAACCACTCTTTCTACTTCAGTCCCTACTGGGATTGTTTAGGTAACCCAGAGAACTGGGAAATGCCCCATTTGGCACTGCACAGAGAGTGGGGTCATCTCTGACCCTTCTTGGAGCTGGAGCTTGGACTAGAGACCTCCCAGGGTCCCTTTCAACATGTATTATCCTATGTCTCTTGGAATGAACACAAAGGTTTATTGTGTTTTCAGTGGTCAAGATGGACGTCTGGCTCCTTTTCTGACCTCATGGCATTTCATGCTGCATTTTCAGCTCTCTTGATGATTATGGAGGGGAAATTATGGGCTGTTGGGGATGGTTCCTAGCAGCTGGACTTATCAGATAACATCAGTTTTGATACCGTAATGGGATACGGTGAAATCAAAGGCCTGAGGAAATCACCACTAATTAATGGTTCTTCTTTCATTAGTTATGAACATGGTAAATTAAGACAGTGCTGCTTCAGACAACTAATCCTGACATAGCACCCACTGATATAACCTGGTTAAGTCTGAGTATCTTGTCTTTCCCCCTGTAAGTTGGCAGGAACCTATTTTAGCCCATAAGAACTGTTTTATCCTTCTTTGCCCTTGTAGTATACCTTTTAAAGTCTAGCATGCCTGCCTGCTTGCCTGCCTGCTTTTCTCTCTTTCTCTTTCTGTCTCTCTATCTGGAGGTGTCTCCTTGTTGATCTGTAAGGTCACTTTGAACCTAAACTATTCTATGATTCTGTAATGTGATTCTATGATCTGGGATAGTTTCAGGGAATCTCCTTAGCTGGTGTACGTAGCTGATCTCACCCACTTTAGGGCATGTTCTTCCAGTGCTTACCATCTGGAGATAAGGGTTTTCTTTGTTGTTCCCCTGCTGCTTTACTCAGAAGAGATTTGGGCATTTCATCTTGCATGAATTTTGAAAAGTAGGGCAACTAAGAGAGAGCAAGGCCTTGACATGTATCATGGCAGGGCCTCCACTGGCTAGAAAAGGTATTTCACATGCACCCAGCAGGAGAAGGGGTGGTTTCAGCTCATGGGGCTACCCTGTTAGAGCTGTGGTGCTGAGACACCATATTAATGCTGGTGTCACTATTCAGGTTTAGCAGTGAGAGGTCATCCCAAAATAATTATGCCTGTAAGATCTGCAGTGTGGTGCACTTAAGCCCATGTCAAAGTGTCATACCACAGTGTTTTGCATACAATTAAAATACCCATTCTGGGTGCATCACTCCTGGGTGACGATAGCAGTTGAACTAAGCCAGCAGAGACAAACTGATATTTTTCCCATACACATAAGCCCAGCATGACTTGCACAAGATCATTGACTGGGCACAGGCAGTAAGTGTAACAAATAACCCAATGTCTTTGCCTCGTCACAAGGCTGGATGTCCTCAAGGCCACAAGGAGCACCTCATGCTCCCAGATGGTCTTGGTTTAGACACTCAACATCTCCTGTGCATGAGGTAAGTGTTCCTCATCTCCTTGGCCACCAAAGGAACCCAATGCTCTTATCTTGCAATGGTGTAGACATGAATGGTCTGTCCCTGCTTGAGACTGCAGGCTTTTGGTAGCCAGACTCAGGGAGGGAAAGAAGGCTGGGACGATTTCATAACTGAAGAATGTTGTTCCTTGAGGGAGAATCAAACCACCCTTCAGTTTTGTTTCACCTACAACAGGAGGGGGGTGAAAAAAAAACAGCTCAGTCACATTCTTGTGAGGCAGATCCCCCAGGGTAGGAACATATTTGAGCTCCTACCCAGAAAGAGAGAAGGAGAAAATGAAGGAAAGGAAACAAGCAAGAAAAACTCTGTTTTGCAGCTTGGATTTTAAGTCACCCAAGTGACTTAACTGCAGATTCTCATTTGAGTCAACAGAGACCCTGTCCTCCCTCAGCATAAACCAGTGCAGTCACTAAAGCAACTCCCTTGTGCCTGACACAACTATCTGAAATTCTTTCATTGAAAAGGCCCAATTTTAATGCCTTCAGGAAATACTTTCTAGGCCCAAATCTCACTGAGGCTGCCTCACTGTCTGGGCTGCCCTTGCTGCTTTGGTATCTCATTGTTAATTCAGGGCTAGGCTTGAGCTGTGATTCAGCAGTGCCAAACTGTCACCAGTCTCTGGTCCTTTTAAGAGCCATGTTCTGATATCTTGTTTTAAAATTGGACTCTTTTTTCCCATCAACCTGTTTATGGAGAGAAATCCCATATGCTTTTGCTACAGGTCTATTTATGTATGTATTTTTTTTTTACATTTCCATAGCCAGGCCTAATGAATCATATTAAACAGCAATGGTATTCATGAGCTTGGCAACAAGGGAATGGTGATCCAGATCTGCTGCTATTTGGAGGCAATACTTGACAGGCTTGGCCCTATGTCCCTCTAGTTCTTCATGTATCACTGAGGACATATGAAGAAATCCCCCATCCCATCCAGCTATTTGATTACTCTGTTTTGCAGGTCCTTAGTTAAGGAATAAACTTTCTCCATTCAAAAGGAACAGAGTCACTTTCTAACTGTGATGGGGAATGACTCAGGCATTAGCAGGAGGTGAAATTTCTACAGGGCTGTTGGAAGAGGGGTTTTCTCCTCCTTTGTGGTCTCAGGAACATATGAGCAGCTATGAAGCTCCACAGAGAAACATTCAGATAGGTGACATTGTTGGGTTTTTCTTGCAAAGCACTAGGAAATAGGTGTCTCAGTACCCTAGACTATTGGGAAAGCAAAGAACAAGAATGCCTGTATAGGAAAAGAAGTGAGCCTGCTCTCTTTCTCTTTACCTAAACCTACCTATCTGTTTATCAATCATATATAAGAGGCTACAGTTCATATAATTTCTAGTTTCCAAGAAGTTTAAATCTCAACTACTGGACAGCTGAAAGGACCCCTCACTTGAACTTTTCAGAGTCATTTCTAGAGGGAAAAGAAATGTTCTCATTTGTTTCTTCACCTGTATTGTGTGAAGCAGTGGAGCATAGTGATGTGAAGCAGTGGCCGTAGACACAGGACATTAAGTGTTCACCTTAGACACAGCCCATGCCCACCCACCTACCTGAGAGGCTTGGCAGTTTGTAAGGCAGTTGCTCTATCTTTCAGTTTCCCAAGGAAAAAAGATTTTTTTTTAGTTGCCTTTGAAAATAGACAAAACAAAACTCTGGAGGATATAGTAAGAGGGACATGCTACCACTGACAACAGAAAGTCAATGGTGCAACCTAACAGGTGTTTTCCACCTCAAACTTAAGTGCAATATATTGGTAATTGTGTCTTTTTCCCTGCTTTTAGCTATTGTGGATGAAGGCACTGTTCATGTTTAAGTTGTGGTGCATTTTATAGTCTCTCAATGCAGTTCAAGCTCTCTTTGAAACTCCTCTGGGCAGAAATATGAACCAATCTCAAGAGAAGTAATACAATAAAAGCTTATCATGGCCCTGTCTCTTTAAAGGACCTCAGCACATAATTAAGTCAAAATAAAAGTTTCCTCCCTCTCCTCCCCCCATTCAATAAAAGTAAATTACCTCAAACTATTTAAGCCCCCAGTTCGTTTAAATTTAAAAAGGGAGCCCTTGTCTATCTATTTCTTTCACTCACTCCCACCTCCTTCTGCTAAAGACTGGCTGGGGCTTTAAACCTGCCAGCTAGACTGAGAAATGGTTAATAGTTATTGTGGAGGAGCAGCTTTTAATGAACTATTGAAGAATGATACATTGATGGAGTAATGGGAGTTTAAGTCGCTCTGTAATGAAACAGGTTCTCAGCGCAGACCCATTGTGGTGTAAATACGGCACGTCTCTCCCACTGTTTGGTCAGGACTAAATAGCAGAGGCCAGAGGGGGGTCAGCTTATGGGGTCTCTGCTTTAGTTAATCAATCTGATTGGATTAGGGTCACTGCGATCCCTAATAATGTCAAAGGTTACGCCAAACTGGATTAAATGCTTTGTTGGGGAGGGCTCAGATTCTTTCAGCTTTCACCGACAGGGCTTGTTTATTAGAGTTTAACACTCGTGCAACCTTGGGAAGCCACACCGTCCCTTTTTGTACACTGGGGTTTTTGCTGGCATGTGAGGGGTTTGAACCAGCCAGGGCGGGAAAGCGCACGTCCTGTGGCTTTGTCAAGTGTCTGCACCCATCGGATGTGCCCTCTGAGGACATATATCAAATTCCACATGGACAAATGAGACCCTAATGGGTGACGCAGAGGCTTGGAGGCATAAATTCATTCCGGAAATAACAGCTGACCGTCGACCCTGTTAGAAGGCAAATGATGAGAGCCACAAAAGAGGTGTAGTGTCGTGCTCCCCTGGATTAATCCTGTTCCTGTCCAGCAAAGAGATGTTCTTTTTCATACAGCTTCTGTTTGTGAAGTTACCAGGATGAGCATGGAAGAAATATGGAGTATTCAAGACCACTTGATTTCTTCATTATTCAATCCAGTAGATGTCTTCCAGGTGGTATCTCCTTGTCATCTTCTCCAGGGAGACCATGAAACCTAAAGAATTGCTATTATCTTCACTCATAATGTTCCCAGAGATGACACTGTTTTACAGACATGGCAGAGTGTCCTTCTGAAAATGGTACTAAATAATCTTCTTGAAGGCCACCCAGCAATGAAAAGAGGCAGCAATGATAGTGTGTTATTGGTAGAGATATGAGATCTCTGGGTTTCAAATGCCTCTTTCCTTCCCACAGTAGAGCATACACTGAATGTTTACAGACTGCCAGGACTGTCAGATTATCCAAGCAGACTTCTTGCATGATGCAGCCTGGAGAATTTCC